GAGCTTTTTTTGGTGTGAGTGTGTGTGAGGGGGGGGGGGTGTATATTCATTCAGGTGAATTTCTTGTTATGTTTACCGGAGTTTTTGCCTAGTTTCTCTGTTTTCTTATTATGTTTGTTTTTGCTCTGTTTCTTCCTCTTCTTCTTCTCCAATTACTAACCTCTTACCTGGCCAATGACATGGTTTGTTGACGTCTGTCACCATGGTGACTGGTGCTGTGTTACATAATGTTGCAATTTCACAGTCTGTTCTGCTCCGTAAGCTTTTCTATGACCTTTGACCCAAAACACACACAGACACATCTAAAACATAACCTCCATACACGGAGGTAACAAATAATGATTGCCACCATTGCCGCTCTGCTTTGATGCTGTAAAGGCAGACTTTAAGAAAGTGTAAAAACAGGTACAGTCAAACCTGTCCAAGCCGACCACCCAGGGGAACCAAAGAAAAGTGGCCTCCTTGGACAGGTGGTCTCCTTGAAGAGGGTTGCCTCACGACATGAGTGAGACATAAATGGTTTCCAAGCTCAGATGTTTTAATGTCAAATGCTATTGGCATCTTTAGATCTGTGGTGAATGCGTGCGGGGGAGGTGGCGCATGGAACAATTTACGTCTAACAAAACGTCATCCAGCAGTCGAGGCAAACTGACTTGTTTCTCCATGATTTCTCATTAGTTATCATCACTAATCAACATGATCGAAAATAATGTGGTCACCACGGACAGGTATCGCGTTGGCCAGGTGGTCACCTTGAACAGGTTGCTTAATGCTTGCGTCAATGGGGACATTTTTGGGGACGAAGAAAAAGCGGTCACCTTAGATAGGTGGCCTGCTTGAAGAGGTGGACACCTTGGCAGGTTTGACTGTACATATACGTAACGACCCTGGTAATGTTTTAAAAGCTGCCAGCTTTGAGGTATCTGTCCTCATTCTACCCTATAACCTAGCATGACATGTATGATACTCAATTTCATGAACTTCTCTTGAGTTGCCCCTCGTGTGGAAGATATTGCTTGAACCCACCTGGCCATGAAGTCATGCTTCCAGGAGTCATTGAACGGTCTTAAATAAATGCATCAGATACCGGTCATGTTCTGTGATATATATATCTGTTCACTTTTCTTTTCACTTGTTTAACTAATTTCAATACGTTAGATCCTGTAGATAATTTCAATTACATTCTCAGGGGAGATAACCAATACAGTACTCAAATAGGAAAATACATTAAAGAATGTTTCAATCTTAGAGACTACATGTTAGGGAGTATTTAAACATTTACTGTTACCACTGATATATATTCTGTTTGTAATTTGCCACATACATATATATTCTGTACGTAGGATTAAGTTATCAATACATGTATTTACCTTTGTTAGATCTTTAGTTGTAGAAGACCATACAAAAGTCCCTGTACTTTTTGTTAAGAATCTGCTATCAATGGAATCGAAGTAAATATTAAAGCAGCTACCCTGACTAAACCGCGCTCCTGACTGCCACCCACCCCGAAGGTCCCCCTCCCCAATATTATTTCACAAAAAATCGAAATATCTTTTTAAAAATATTTATTATTTTAATTTAAAAAAATATGTATGTGATTCTGATTTCGTTACTTCCAGTTTTCAACATATTTGTGCAATAATCCCAAATTTCTGATATACATGGTTGGTGCCGAAGTAGCACCCAGTTTGTGGTGCCACCAAAAACTGCCAGAATGTAAACAAACAGCCGAGTTTAAAAAAAAAATAAGGAGTCATTTTGTCACCTCCACCTCCTTAATTGCACTTATTTACAATGAGGTAGGGCCGATTCAACTTCGGGATAAAGTGATTAAACTATTTACTTCTCGTATCGTCCTGATGTTACATAGTGATACTATTAAATGTCTCTTGTAAAGTATCTATTTTTACAGAAATAAATCACATTGTGAAACTGATGGTTCCATCGTACAATTAATAAAATTAGGCTAAATCAACCACGTCAATATTCAATCAATATTGACTCATCAATATCATACCTCAAAGTTTATTTGACATTATCATCCTCATTGATACGCATATTACCTCAGTAATACAGCACATATAATTAGTACATTGCATAGTACAATATATGACAACGAACGTAAATCACTGTTTAGTTCAATTAAGCTGGACAAAAATGAAAAACATTATCAAAAGAAGACACTTTTAAATATCATGTACAATATAGATGTCATGAATAAAGTATGTACTTATATTTTAAAATGTTTCAAAAAGAGAGAAGAAGCCATTAGAACTTAGATCAATACTACTTTATATAGTTTATAGCATTTTATACCTTAGACCTTAGACCTTTTTTATTATTGTTGTAATTTCTTTCTAGTACATTGCACATTGTACATCCCTGCGTTTATCCCCACGGGGAATGAACATGCAATAAAGTTTCATTAATAATAGTTCAAGCTGCAGTCTAAAAGGTGTTTAAATTTTGCCGGGAACCCTTAGGCCACACCGCCTTAATTTTATGGATGACATCCGGGCGCGCATTGATTTTCGCCTGTCGCCCTCAAAAAATTAAACAAAAAGATCACCTCCACCGAGGCTCTGGCCTGGCTCTAGGTCTGAGTAGTACATGGTAGTCAGCGACAAAACGGAGCCGAGCACCCAGGCTATCGAATTCAAAGCTCCGCGACTCAAGAACTCAGTACATAAGTACAGTACCGATTAATAAATTCCGCAAAAAGCCAGCATGTGCCGGCTTGTCGTATACGTCGCTAAGTACTGTCGCGAATTCAGCTTTGCCAGCAACACCAGCTTTGTATTCCCGTGGTTTAGTAGCATTTTTATTTTTGGCCGGATTTTTATTTTATTCGCCCGCGCGCACTAGTTTGGGGTCATCCATAAAATTGAGTCGGTGTGGCCTTACTACTGGAGCTGTGGGCGTGAGTTACACAGCTGCTGGTCCATGACACATATGAAGATAAATGAACCTGGCCGTGGGTGTTAGATCTTGGCACGTTAGTAAAGTATGTATTGATGTCCGCTTACAGTACAACGAGTAACATGTACTTGTATTCCTGTAAGGGCCGCAGGAAGATTTTTTTATGACTATATATATAAAGTTGAATCATATACTCTATAAATATAAGTCAAAGGCTTATATTCAAATAGATAATAGTTGAGCCGTCTTGGCATGAGATGCAAGGTCATCGAGATAATCAAGAATACTAAAGGCCCAAAAATACTGCCTTGGGGAACCCCAGCTGTTGTGGGAATTGATAAAGAGGTAAATCTGTAGCTAGTACAACAGACTGACGTCTGTCAGGTAGGGAGGGTGAAATCCAGCCACACAGGTCATTTTATATACCGGCTACGTATGTCAGCATGAACAATAAACCGTTGTGCCAGACACGATCGAAGGCTTTCTTAACTTTTGATATTCCAGGGCAAGAACTCTAAACTCCCTCTTTGAATAAAGAGAATTATTTTACCATATCAATTGTCGGTCTATCTCGCGGAAGCCATGCCGGCTGTAACAGAAAAGCTGGTGCCTGGTCAGACGTTTACGAGTGTGAACTCCGATAATTTCACCATAACTTTGCATATTATCGGTAGTAATGAATGGGCCTGCAGACGGAGCGATTTTTTTTGTTTCCCGTTTTAGCAATCATATGGGCAGCTTTCCAGTAGGAGGCAGCTGTCTGAGAGTCATGGGAGATCTGAAATAGCTTAATTGGTGAGTTGTGGAGCATGTTCATAGGTCGCATCTCTTGTGTACTATTGTTGAGTGTATATATGAGCCGCTGGCTTTAGTGATGTCCAAATGCGTGCGGTACTACCAACCGGCAGATGAACACTGACAGCAAAATGACTAAAAAACATGTAAATATCTTTGAAGCCAAAACCCAAACGCTCGATCTGTCAATACGTCTGATCATTTAGACCACCTGCATATGGAAGCGTGTCTAAGCGTGCCTTCTGCATGTACTACTAAACAACATATTGATGGCTTCTGATCACAAATAGATATAACAAATAATGAAGAGATCGCCCACTATTTCTTCGACATGTCTTTTTTTTTTTTTTTGGTTAATTTTATTTTTTTAAACATTGTGGAGACGTCTATGATGCGTTTGACAGAACTATTTATAATTCTCGTTAGATTACTTCTTTGGAAACAAAAATCTAGATAAACTTCAAAAGTCTCTTCTGACATTTTGTGCAACAAAAACACACCCAAAAGTTTAGTGTGTAAGTCATGTTCAGAACTAACAAGGCACGTGTAGCTCCATCCACAAACACGCCCACGCCCACTCGTTATTATCATCAGGCTGCGAACTGTGCGAGCTGCACCGTGCTCTTCTTCATCTGTATTCCCGCTGTCTTTCCGGAGGTCCCACCAGGCCGTGCATGTGATGCCGCAATCGCTCGGGTCTATCTGTATAAGCGCATCAGTTAAAGCCAGTTCACTCGCACGTGTACCTCCAACGTGCCTTTCCGCTTATCTTTCCCGACAGCCAGCTATTCGTCTGAACGCCTAGTTATACTCTCAGTGGTGACGTCGCCCAGGTTTTCCAGAACATAAAAACGTTTGTGATTGACGCCTTTCAAGCTTGGAACTTTGAAGTGTTTCAATCGAGCATAGGAAAAGGTAGGCGTGATGTAAACGTTTGGAAACATTGTTTTTTTTCTGATGCTTATATTTCCTATTACGTCAAGTTTGAATGCTTAGAATATACATGTCGCATGAACATTTTGTAAATGATGGACTTGCAGATGGTAATGCATACAGACACATATCCGGGATTACATCTAAAGGAGGATGAGAAATGACTTGCTTTGCATTTTGTTTGCATATCGCCGATAAGAGGGAAGCTGTTAAATGCTGCTCAGAGGCAACGGTGTTCTCATTCTCTGCGGTCCCTAAGGAGGAACGTTGGGAACAACCCCGCCGTCTCTTGAGTCTTGGCTAAATCCTTAGACTGACGCGTTTCTATATAAGATATTTCTTCAATGAACAGTATGACCAGTAAACACGTGAACCATATTTCTGTGCACCACCTTCTAGTTCACATCATGGACCAGCTCCGAGCACGAAGGCGCCAGCTGTTCCGCATGCACCACAGCGCGGACAGCGCCGAGCAGCTCAAGATTCCCCGCCACGACAAGCATCGCAAGGCCGGGGACGAAAGCCCGGAGGAGTACGATCGTGAGGACCGCCACGGGGAAACACGGGAGCGGAGGAAGAACGTCTTCCGTCTGCCGTCAGGGTCGGACCGTAGCACGCCCAGCCACAGCCCGAGCCCGATCAACAGGAAACCAGGTCATGGACATCATCAAGGCGAGCCGGAGGAACACAGGCGGCCCTTCATCAGCATCGCAGGGAAAATCAGCAAACTTCCTCTCGCTCTTCAGGTAAGGCTATTCGTCTCCTTTTCTATTTGCCTTCCTTACTGCCGTTATGCCGTATCTTGACGAACAGAAAATAGTTAGATCTAGTTGTACAAGAGAAGCAGTTCTCCAGTCAGAAGCTCTGAGAAAGGTGCTTGATAGACATCAAAATTAAAGCAGGCGAGGGTCTATATTGGTTACGTAAAATGAAATCCTAATATCGTAATATCTTGACAACATTAAGAAGATTGATTTCAAATGCGAACCAGATACAATGTTTTGGAATATTCTAAGCAATCTTTAGATAACGAAAAGATGTATCATTATTAGCATTATCGTCTTAGTTATTTTCCCTAGAGTTAAACGGTGACGGTGGAACGTGTTCAAAGATGCTAAAAAGAGGATAATCCGACTAAAACACATTAACTCCCTAATACGATGACATCAATCATTGCAAGTACTATGGTTTCTCTGAAACCCTTCATCTATGCGTCAGCCTTATACACGGTAACGTTAGGTTGAGTAAACCAAATACATATTTCTATTTGTATTTTGTATCTAAAATATTTGCAGAATATGATACATGTCATTACTTGGGTAAGCAGGGGCAGACTCAGCTGGTAACGTCTGACCAACACATACATATTTTTCTTTTATTCAAATTGCAACAGCAATACAAAGGCCACCTAGGCAGCGTTGCTTAGCCTCCACCAGGCCTTTCTACGGGAATACGGATCGTAGAATTCGGCAAAAAAGGGAATCAAATGGACCAAGGGAGTCCTGCCGCGGGGAGGTAGCCCCGTTCCCTCCGATGCGCGGCACAGTCAAACCCTAAGGCGGCCAAACTCCTGCAAATATTCTCCTATGTATAGCCAGCGTAGTTAGTCTGGTAGAGACTAGTGTTGCTGATGTTGCACCGTGGATGTCGGACATATGTAAAGCTGTGCGAAGGCAATAGAAATTACTCTTGCTCTTGTTTTCCTGACAACGTTACAGCCAAGGTGCGACTTCTTAGAAATGGTCGCTGACAGGGGATAGAGAATAAACCCATGCTAACAAATGACCAGTTGTCGGTCGGGTTGAATTAAATCAGGAATAAAATCCGTTCATCCTGATTACTACACGTACGATAGGTCCCAAGGTTGACATCCTGCTTATAATAAGAGGAATGAACTTCTTATATGATACAGAATATGTATCATAAAAAAGGCAATAATCCTCCATTGGTGTACCTGAATAACACCGACTTTCAAAAGTGATAGCGTTTGTATAAGACATTATTCACCTGTGCCGCTTTTACAGCGGTTAAGTATTCGTTGACCTGAAAGATTGCATGTATATGGCTGAATATGGCCTGCCGAACTCCACCAAATTCAACCAAGCGCATTACTGTGAATTGACTGGTGTTCAGATTCAGATTCAGATTTTATTACCAATGACATGGCAGGTACAATACAGAATCAATACCTGAAATGTGTCATTGCTTACAGATACGCCTTTAAAGACCAAGTATAAAACTCCTGAATATGATAAAAGACAATTCTAAAAGTCAGAGTTGGTGATATCAGGTAACCTATTTACAAAATGTTTCTGGTGAGAGCAGACATGTACACGTACATGTATGAGCGTGTGTTACAGGTCAGCTCAAACAAACTCAGTGCTAGGATTACAAGTACGAGACGTTTTAACAATGTTCGTGTTCAGTTGGTTATTTTTCGGCTGCACCAGCTGAATGTTTTAAAACTATTAAAAATACATTTAGGAGTAAACAGAGTTTGTGCCAGGGTTGAAGACTGGTTTTGCTAGTGGTTGGGAGTACATTCGGACGTAATATTGCAGTCAAATTCGACAAATTTAACTGAAATCCGCAAACCTCAATTTGTATTACGTTCTATTGGTCAGTTCATAACTGTAAGTGCGACCTAGACATGTTTAGATTGCTCGCCAAATCGGGTTGTAGTTTGCCGGAGGAAGATTCTGGGCTTAAAACTAAAATTACCCTAAACAGTTTTCCACCACTCAAGACATAACGGTGTGGTTTCTAGAAACCACAAAAAACAACTCCCGCTGAGAAAGTAATTTGTGCTGTTCGAAACTATATCGGAGAAAACGTTACTGCGCGCATGTTGCAGCACACGGGTTCCTAATTTCCTTAATTGCCAGCAGACGTCTGTGAATAAAGTAAAAGCCCTCTCTTTCCTTCGTGTGCTATCATGGCTCATAGTCTTAAGAAAATGGGATGGCATGGTAGGGAGGCCTAGAAAATAGAACCTAGTGGATGCACATAATGCACATAACACTTTTTAAAAAAAAATTATGCAAAGATGAAATAAACTCCGATCATATTCCTTCGGGAGAAAGGTGGTATCAAATTGGCCATCAGTTACCGTTGGTCCCCGTACTGTTGGTATCTGGTGGCCAATTTGATACTATCTTGCTCCCAAAAGAGACAAAAGGCTACTGAATGAGAGACATTTTGTCTCGACGTCTTCTTCATGTCTTAATCCTAACAAGATCGTTACATAACGATGTTGTCCTATCAAGATCGTTATATAACGATCTCGTTAGGGTTAACACATGAGGATCTTAGCAGAAACGTTTCCAAAGTTATTCATCCCATTTATTTATTCATTCCATAAAAGTATTTTACCCATACAAACGTACTGATCGAAATTATGATAATAATTGTATTTCATTTGTTTCATTGCATAAACGTATTTCTCATTAATTATTGAAAAGAGAAAAATATGCTAAATCATGATAAAACGGGATAGGCTTTTCTTCCAATAGACATCAGGAATATGCAAATGTAGTTAGTTGCAAATGCAGTTAGTTGTCCTAAAAATAGGACTAAATAACCAGAGCTTGCCATAGAATAACAGCTCTCTGGCTATTTAAAGGTATATTCTCCCTTTTTCTCATTTATGTTGTCTAGCAAAAGCTTGTCATACAAGAGCACTATAATTGTTGAATGAAATATGACACAAAATTCTCCTATTTTATTGTTTAGATTAGCCATGTAGTCAGCACGTATTTGTACTAAAATATAGACATAAATAGCCAAAGACTGTAAAACAACAAGAGCACTCTGATTATCCAAAGAAGTATAACAAAGTTCTCCTGTTTTCATTGTTTAGGTTTATAGCCATGCGAATATAGTCAGTACGCATTGTATTGCATGAAAAATGCAGGCATAAATAGCCGAAGCTTGTCACACTACAAGAGTACTGAGATTATTGAAAGAAATATACATTTATATGGCTAACCTAAACAAATGAAAACAGAAAAAATTGTAATTGGCTAGGTTAGCCATGTAAATGTAGCCAGCACGTACTGAAAATATAGGCATAGGCAAAACCAGAGCTTGTAATACAACAAGAGCACTCTAATTATTTAAAGAAATATGACACAAAGTTCTCCTTTTTCCATTGTTTAGGTTACCATCAAGTAGATGAAGCAACATTTGTGTACTAAAAATATAGGCATAAGTAGCCAAAGCTTGTCATACAATAAGAGCACTCTGATTGTTGAAAGAAATATAACAAAGTTCTCCTGTTTTCATTGTTTAGCTTACCATGTAAGCACGTCAGCACGCATTTTTTGTACTAAAAATATAGGCATAAATAGAGAAGGCTTGTCATACAACAATATCACTCTAATTATTGAAAGAAATATAACAAAGTCGTCCTGTTTTCATTGTTTAGGTTAGCCTAGACACAACAGACTCAAGTTCGCTGGAGGAAGGCGGCAATCTGATGCTTGAGACTGCGGATCGGCTGAACATGCTCCTGGGGGATGTGGAGAAGGGGGCGGAACATCTGACGGATGTCATCGATCGTGTCGGCAACAGCATGGATCACGATATCCACAACGTGTTCTCCAGGTGGGCTCTCATTAGCATAATTTATGTACATGGGGTCTAGACTTACAGTCTGGGAGGATGGTCATTATTGAAATTAGGGAATTTCTGCTCCATGACGGTCAATATACATTGGGATAGTGTTGTTTTAACTCAGTATGTAGATAAATGACTAGAATATTGACTTTGAAAACTCGGGTTTCCAAGCCCTAAAAACTGCACTGAATGCCTTTTAAAAGACGTACGGTCAACAGAACACGTAAGCAATGGTGAAAGATGTTGAGGATAGATAATTCCTTTTGACAATGATAGATAGCTTAGTAGTGCCAGGGACAGTTTTGTCTGATCTTTGAAAAACAAATTAGGTTCTTTCCATGAATGCAGAGGCAACCCGACGCATTGTCTATTTAAAACACAAAAACGGAATGGATTACAATGTTTTGACTGAGCAGGCGGTTCGGGCTGAATAAGTTGGGGGAAAATCACGTTTCATGTTGGCGCCTGTCAGAGCTTTGCCGCCATAATTGGCCAATCGCTTTCCTCGCAATTAGATAAGAGACTGAAAACCTCGGGGCATTTGCCTGATTTTGAATCAATCTCAGTGATGTAGATTTGATTTTCTAGAGCATCGTTACTTTGGAAGCCCTTTCGTCGCTAGTGGCTTCTTTTATTTTATTTGCAATATATCATTTCATAAACTGAACACGTCAGATTGAGATCTGCATCTACGACGATGGATGTTCGTCGTAGTACAAATAGTGATCTATCTAGCTAAAATAAGCTGCGTATACATCAATAACGCATTGGATTCTAAACTGCTTATTATGTTTACCGAAGGAAAACATGTTTACCAAAGGAAAACATATTGTTCTTGCTCTGTTTCTTCATCCGTTCCAAATACAGACGTGATTAATGACCTGAACCAGACCGCCTGTCACCATGGTAACTGGTGTTGAGTTACATGATGTTGCAATTTTATAGTAGGAGGGATTTACACTCCTGTCACAAAAAAATGTGAATGTGCTTGAGTAAGAATTACCAGAGCAGACCATATGCGAAGGTAAATGTTATGCATGTGCTTTACAAATGTTACCTTTCTAGCTAGTTGAAAGCCTGTATTTAAAGGCGCTCTAAGTGAAAAGGGTAGTAAAATCAGATTTTCAACATCGATTTTCGGGTCATTTTTTTTAATGTTGTAAGTTGAGTCAATTTTTTTAGATTTTAACATTTTGACAAATCATGGTCACGGCAGACTCATGTTTTAGACGTATGTTCATGCCGCCACATAAGACAATACATAAGATGTATGACAAGCAAAGCGCGATTTTACATACTAGTCATTAGATAATGAACACGGACTGAATATTGCCAATGACTGATAGAGCCGATACCGGTTATACCGATACAGATGCAAGCATGTATGGTATAGGTATGGCGTAAACTTGACTAAGCAATTTGTCTGTCTGTTAGTACGTCAATGTCAAATGCAATTGCCAGAATTTTACATGTGACAGTTAAAAGACCCAATTTATATGTACGTACACGTGCGGGCAAAACCTGACGTCATAACGTCATGACGTGGCACGAAAACTGCGTGCGTCAATTTCTTTCCTGTACGTAAATCGTGACTTTGACATACGTGAGGAACATACGTTCATATCGAAAATTACCTCTCGATCGAAACATATATACATTTATTATACATATACATGTACATATAGATACAGATAGATAAATAGATATAGCTCTATCAGAAAGTGGAAAAATGTCAAACTTTAAAAATTCTCGAAACATGTATACATTTATTATACATACACATATAGATAGGTAGATATAGATATAGCTCTATCAGAAAGTGTAAAAATGCCAAACTTTAAAAATTGGCCCAAATGCAACATCATAGTACACCAAGATCTTGGAATACCAGTTTAGAAATGTTTATGCATTATAAGATATTACAAAATCCGTTTGAAGTCGGATAAAAAGGTTTGCACATGGAACAATAATATTGAGTGTTATTAGCTGTTGATAGAAAGGTAGAAACTCTTAATAAATGTACAAGAATATCCTTAGACAGATTCTCAATGTCAGTAACGAATATCTGTTTTTAAATGATTAAGTCGCTTAGTAAGTAGTAGCTAGTAACATCTAGATTTTCTTTGACTATTTTATACAGCTTGGAGCACGGGCTGCGGCGCTTTTCCCAGACACGGGAAGCCATGACGGACCTGGCTCGAGCCGCACGAGACACCGCCGAGGAGATGTCACGAGCCGGGCGGGCCATGACGGACCTGCTCCGGGGAGCTCTCCTCATCAGCTCGGTGGTCGCCACGGCCTACGCCATCAAAGAGCTGATGTCCGTCAAAGACAACTGCTCTCTAGTTTACTGTTGCCTACTCCTGCTGGCCTGTGGCTTATGTGTTATACTCCTGTGGGCACTGCTAGGTATGATCCATACGCTAATTAGGCAGGGAGGGTTGGATTTTGCATTGCAGGATATTACACTTTCCTGGAAAAAGAGTATGGATGACTAGCTGTATTCAGCACCGACCATCTATTCTCAAAAACCATGAATAGCAGGAATGATATTCAAAGGTTAGGTGTAACAAGTCGTTGGTGCAATGTAGCCAGCTGCCACCGCGCCGCGTGCCTACAAAGCTAGGTGTGTTACGCCGAAGGGCGGTAAAACCGGCTATACAGTTACAGATAAGGCCACACCATCTTAATTGGCTGTTCCTAGGATTTGCCTGTCCATTTTTTTCTGATTTGCAAAAAAAAAGGGTTCTAAATCAACTGCAAAATGCTCAATGAAAGACGTATTTGGCCCCAACGGTTGAAGAAAGTCCTTTTCTTCCTAGTTGTTAAAGTTTTTCAATGTACCAAAATGCACTTTTGTTTCATTAAAAGTTAAATATCTATTGTTTTCATTATAAACCAGCCTGATGTGTTCACTTCATGGCTCTTATTGTAACATTTTCGCTATCATGGGATGCCTTGGCCTGTTTTTTCGCCCTGTCGCTTCATATTTTTTCTGAAAAAATCGAGAAACAACAAATTAAATTAGTGTGGCCTAAAGAAGATATTTGGAATATCCTGATACATGGAATGTTATGATAATTGAGATGTTGCTTCGATATGTACATATACATGAGACCATGAAACTCGGAGATTAGTCTATTGCGTCTCGGAAAATCTTTTTTCAAACTGTACAATGCAGATATTAGCCTTCGGGCATGGTTTGCCAATAGAAGACATTTATCCGGAGTATGTCAACCAAGACAGGCATGTGTATGAACAGAGACTTGACAGTGAATGATTGTGTTCTCGACATTTAGTAGTTAGGCCTGGTTAGTTTCATTATATGGATGACATCCTCCTGGAGCCCCAAAACTGATGCGCGCGTGCGAATAAAAAAAAAGTTTTGCAAAAAAAAAGTTATTTTCATTATGAAATCTACGTGGTCATGAGGGTTGAGCAAATGGCACAGAATATGGTTTGGCGATTAATCTAGTCTTCAAGTTCATTTCTTTACAATTTCGTCTTTTTTCGTTTGATTTTGGCATTCTACGACATTGGTATGGCTTTTATTAATTTTTATTTTGAACTTATGGTATATTTTTGCTCATTTTGCAACTTTTTTGTACGATTTACAGTATGGTTGAAAACTTTTTTTTTTTTGGAAACGGCCGAAAATTCATGCGCGCGCGGATGTCACCCATATAATCAAATCAACATGGCCTAATCAGCATAGAAAACTATTCTGCAGTCTTCACAATGTAAATATCGCAGTGTATGTATTGGATGTTTTCCTATTGGAGTGCCCTTTATTCCAGTAATCACGACACACCGTGTAAGGTGTGAGAAATGTCAGTTGAGACATGTGAATAAACAGTGGCATTTTCATAATAAATTTGTCGTGAAGGATTTATTGATTCCGAGCTGTATGAAAATAGCGGTCATTAATATATTCTTGTGCAAGGCATTCTTGTATGTATTGGTTGGGTAGGCTACTTTCTCTTTGCAGCCAAGGCTGAATTCTGAGGAGCTTACAATTATTGGGGCCTGTCGCAAGGGTCTAGAGCAGCTGCTATTCCGCGCTAAATCTAGGTGAACTCAATACAACCCTAGGTGTGGCCATAGGACTGTAAGGGTTGAACCACTCACACCGTCATGTTACAGTTACCTTTTGTTACTTTTATGCATTATCAATTTGGTTGAACCTAAATTATTATTATTTATCATCTATGTTACATTTGATTTGATATTTGTATTATGACCAGTAGTACTTAATTTCCTGTATTTATTTACTTATATGTTATATTAAGTTATAATTTATGGTATATCTGATTCTGATTCTCTGTATCATAAGCCTATATGGACTGGGCGACGTATGGTCGTAATGGCACGTTAATAAACATTCATCCATTCATTCACACTGGGAAGGTCCACATACTTTTTGGGGTGGGTTCTTCAACGTGCGTTGGGTGTGGCTATTCATAACACGGGGCCTCCATTTAAGGTCCTATCCTAGGGACGTCCCTCATCATCATCATCGTCCGGCTGCGGAGCAGTCGACCACAAGTCTTCCCCACGACCGTCGATCCGCCGCCAGGTTGGCAATGTCCTCTGGCCGCAGGTCACCCTCGGTGTCCCCCAACAGGTTCCGGACGTAACCCAGGTAGTCGAGTCGCTGGCGCCCTGGGCGCCTTTAGCCGTGCGTCGGTACATACAGGGCATATGTTCGGCATGGTTCCCCCACAGGCATTCTAAGTGCATGTCCCAGGAATCGAAGTTGACGCTGCCATTACCATGGTGATAAGGGGTCGAGTGTTTGTCAACTTGTAGATCCAGGCGTTGCTCACATGGTCTAGGCGCTTGATGTTAAGCATGACCCTATAGCATGATTCAGATTCAGCACGTCCCTAACCGAAGCTATGTACTCGTTAACTTACACCTGAGTGAAGTGAGGAAAGTCGTGTTAAGTGCCTTTCCCACACGATCGGCGGTAGCGGGTAGGATTCGAACCAGGGACCTCTTGGGTCTGAGCCGAACACTCTACGTTACCCCACATCTATGTATTTATACAAACACACCGAGACCTGAAAATCTCCGTTTACACAGTAGTTTGTAGCTTAAGGCGCCTTTAGCTTACGACCTGAGGAATAAGGCGTTCTTCTTAAAAGATTAATAAAACAAAAGAAACAATTATCAAAGATAGAAGTTCTTGTACGTCGAGTACCTAATGCAGAATGCAGAATGAACCAAGCATCATGGCAATCACTCGATATCTTTATTTGCAATCAGATACAGATTTCTGTACACTACATATGCATGCACAGATACAGATTCATGTACAGATATACAGATTTCCCGAGTAGGATGACCGTGTCAGTCCCTACACCTGAGTGAGGGTTACAGTTGACACGGTGGTCTTCGCGTGGATTTGTTTAAGGTTGATAACATGCCCCTGTCCTCCGACCCGGAATCGAACCCGGGTCTCTTATTTGAGCGCCGAACACTCTATCCACTACACCACACGACGCCGCAAAACCAAGCAACTGTGGATAGATTATGTTAGGTATCAGGCATTTCAAATAGAATCCGCCATCTTTTATCAGTTACTGAGAATAATTTTCAAAGACATGTATAACGTAAAAATGGTTTGTTTTTCCAATGTGACTTGCAAAAAACAGGATTTAAAGGCAGCTGAATGTATCTTACACAAATATAAGAGTCGGGCCATTTCGTATAAATTGATAAATCTGAGAATCAGTCAGAAAGTCATGTTTTCCTTCTAAGCAGATTGATGTAAAGACCTTGCACATCATGTAACGTAAGCACGCATGTTTTCCATATGTATGGCGTACACGTGCCTAAGTACTTTGTCTGTTATTACGCCAATCTTATATATAATTACCAGAATTATACATGTGACAGTTTAAGATTCAATTTACATGTACACGTGCGGGCAAAAACCGGACGTGGTACGAAAACTGCGTACGTTAAATTTTTCCGGTATGTATAAATCGACGTGATTTGACATACGTGAGCAACGTGCGTTTAGATCGTAAGTTAGCTCGTGGGCTTGCGTACGATCTGAACGCCCGGTCCTGACGTATGTATGTACCGCCAGGTTTCTTCTCGCGTTAAGCCCCTGTCACACATTCACAAACTTCCAACGAATCCGTACGCGTTTTCAATCACCAGACAAGCACTGTGACAAGACTTAGGCCAAGCTTACCTTCTGTATATGACTCAAAACGAATTTAAGTTAGAGTTCAGCCAAATCTGAGCCCTCAACACGTCCCAAACACCGCTGACTTACTCACGAGTGGTTTGCAGTTGTTTTGTTGACTTACGGTCGAAAACTAGCCACCTATAACTAATGTTACGCTACCCCACTCAAAATCAGATATCTTCAATATGCTCATTTTATGTCCTTCTCAGACATCAGTGTACGTTGGAAAATTCATATTGGAATCCCTACAAAAGTGACACCATATTGTAAATAGCTGATATATCTCCTGAATTACAGAATGTAATGAAAAAAATACTCTTCTTAAGAAAACACAATAGATTAGCTTTAGTATCATTATGGACTAGCTCGTTAGAATTACATTTTAGTATTAGTTTGTTATGTACCCTTGTTGTTTCTTTGCCATACATTGTACCAGCTACAGTTGTTGAGCAATAAAGTTCAACTTGATTTGATTTGATATGATCACATCTCCCGAACGCCTCACGAAAGTTTCTAAAACATTTTGAAACATTCGACTGGCGAAGTCGAACCCTAGTAAAATTCTCCGAACGTCACTCTGCGCCGAACAACTCCCAAACACGGGTTGGCGGGGGTATACGTAGGGGAGGCCATATTCGTAAATGTGTGACAGGGGCTTTCTCTTCTTCGCAAGCTCCGAAGAGAACTATGTTTCCCGTCTATTTCACAGACAAACACACACAATTAGGGTAGTGAGCTCACCACCGTCACCTCAGTACGGTCGGGCATTTATTGCAATTGGCTCGTCAAGTCAGTAACACCATTACTCTCTACACATTGTAGCTCTCATAGCATGTACATACTTATACAGGAGCCTAATACAACAACAACAAGTCATGTGCTGCGAGCTGGCGACCTATTTTACCCTGGTTGCCAATTGTTTAGCCAAAGTCGGGCTGGTCGGTTAAACCAATGCTCTGTCCAGCGGATGTTTAACGCATCCTGACTTGTAAGTAACCTCTAACCGGCGAAGTTCAAAAGCTCATCTACGTGAACAAGGTTGAAAACATCCTGGCTAAGCAAGTGATGCGTTACAGGTACACCTGAATAACTACTGACTTTCGTAAGTAACGTGGTTCAAAATACGACAATAACACAATTCTGGAGTATATCAGAGGTTACAGCTACACAACATACTGAGTACAGCAAATGGCCACAATGTGACTGGGAACGCTAGCAAGGCAGGTATCTTGCAGAGAAGAGACAACATGAAGGTTATGTAACAACTGATTACGTACGCTATGTCGCAGGTACCATTGAGGATAACGTACAGTGCTATGACGAATGTACGAGTCTAGATAAGTCAGTAAGAACTAAGGTAGCGCGATGTCGTATGAGATGAGAAAACATAACTAACGTTCTACAATCCAGGTGTTCTCGGGTTAGTCATGGGAGGGTTGGGTGGGAATGTGACCGTACAGAGAAAGGTTGAGCCACGAATGACCCTTACGAGGGTTAGGGAGGAAGGGTCAGAGGGTAAAGGGGCGGAATAATTAGTATCAGGGTAGGGGTCACGTGATTGTCTGTTCAGCCGACGGGAAACGAGATTTACCGAAGTTGACCGATTACAGTTTAGCGTTGCCTGGCCTGGCGAGTCTCACGCCGACAGACTTCCTCTCGACCCTACACCGCGACAGGTCGGCCTTCACCAGCTCGTGCCCGCCCTGGAACCGGTCCAGGAACCTGTCCACGGCCCGCTGCTGCCCCGGGGACAGCCCGGAGTAGTAGTCAGTAATCCTCTGCAGCATCCACAGCGGGTACACAAACACGCCGCGCACACTGGTGACGTTTCCCAGCCGGAAGTCGTGAACTCCCACAACCCGCATCAGGTCTGTGTCGTCTCCGGATTCCTGTTGCAAAACAAAAAAAGAACATTTGCTTAAAGGGTTATCCTTTTCACAAACACAAAATTCACACAGTTCATTCTAATTCTTTTTTCTTTCTTTCTTTCTTTCTTTCTTTCTTTCTTTCTTTCTTTCTTTCTTTCTTTCTTTCTTTCTTTCTTTCTTTCTTTCTTTCTTTCTTTTTCTTTC